TTTGAGTATTCTAATTTTTGTAATTTTTTAAAATTTAGATAATCGAAAAAATGGGTTTTGGAACCAATTTCCTCTCTTTTTTCGTTGTTTGTCCCACGGAAAGAATGGAAAAACGAGATTAAGAATTAGATTTTGGGGACAATAGGCATAGAAAATGATGCCAAAATAACAAAAAGACTGAATATTGGCTATTCCAGTAAAATTTCCGGGTTGCGGAAGGGACACACTCTTAGCTGGTTAGATAAGGCCTTTATTTGTATTATAAATGGAAATGCGTATTTTACAATTTTTGATCGCTCATTGCACGGTGCCAAAAAGCAAGAAATTGCATAGGGCAAAGTGAACTTTTGTTTCCGTCATCGAAATCACTCCAGCGACCTTGAGAACGGACTAGTATGCTCTGGGTAGGCCTCACGGTAACTCCTAAAAATTTCAGCCTCTGCGATCTAGTCGCGGCTCATATCAGTCTGTCGGAAAAATAACGGCGGATCGTCGCATCAAAATGTCTCGTCTCGCCGCTGTCGCGCACCAAATCCCAAGCCGCGGCTTGCAGTCGCAAAGCGATGATGGGCGATTCGGAGGCGCGACGATCCGCCGTTTTTTCCCGACAGACCGATATATTATGCAATCTTTCAGCTCAAAAAGGGGTGATTTCAACGACTTGCACTGTGCAGAAAATAAAAGTTTTTCCACTCTGCAATTTGTCGCTTTTGCACCGTGCAATAGGCTTTTTTGAGCTGTCGCTGATTTTTTTGCGCTATGCATACGATAAAGCTCGTAGCGACGGAAATTGTATAGCAAACGGAATTGCATAGGCCTCAAATCAACTCCAAAAAATTAGCTCCAAAAAGCGTTCTTTCTTTACTTTTCCAAATCTCCTAATACGACTCTATCACTCCCCTCGTAACCTCCCTTCTTCGTCCATTAACAGCTCCCTGTTCCGACATCTAAAACCCGCTCCTTCCGTCACTTCATTTATCACCGAGATAAATAGCCGCCATTATCCGCAAATCCATCATTTTTTCGAGAATTTCGACCGAAAAAATTCGGGGGGAAATTCGCCGGCCTTGAAGCGCAGCTTATAAGGCTCGCGATCAAGGTCGCGAACCGCTGAGAAACTGAAATTCCTCCCTGATGACGGCCGTATTTAAACATTTTTAACGACTTTCCAGCCTTTTTTGAGACGTTTCTTGTAGCGCGTTGGGGACGGTTGGGAAAAATGAATCAGGGTTGGAATGTGGGGGATCACGTTGAATTTTGCAGAGGATTTTCGGCGTATTTTATCGGTTTGTCGGGAAAATAATATGGATTTTTTGGCAATTCTTTTTTTTCGTATCACTCTGTCGGGAAAATAATGTGGATTTGTCGCAGCAAAAATCTCTGAGACAACCTCGTAGTACCTGAACTTTCACCACAATTTTATGCTATTATTTCCGTATTAAGACGGATTTCTCCCCACGCTGCAGCCGTTTTCTGCGGGAATGAAAAATATTAGAGCCGGGAGATTTTTTTTGATTCATTTCCACGATTTTTTGGACCCCAAAAATGGCCCATTGGGAGGTTGGGTAAAAGGGGAGAAAAAATGCTTTTTTCGCGAGATTTGGACGGGTTTTCCTGGGCTCGGATTCGTAATATAATGGAAGCTGAAAATAAGTGCTGGTTGTCGCGGAACGCAGGCTGGTTTTCAACTAAGTTTTGCGACAAATTTTGAAAATTTTATTTTTGTTTGAAAATGATTTTTAGGGCATTTTAAAACATTAATTTTTTGTCGCGGATTTTGGTGGTAACTTCAACTAGATTTTGCGACAAATTTTGAAAATTTTATTTTTGTCTAAAAATAATTTTTATAGCATTTTAAACCAAAAATTTTTTGTCGCAGATTTCAGTAGTGACTTCAACCAAATTTTGCGACAAATTTCGAAACTTTTATTTTTGTCTAAAAATCATTTTTGTGACATTTTACACCAAAATTTTTTTGTCGCATATCATAGTTGAAATTTACACTACCATCCGCGACATCCCCAACCTCAAATCCCCTCGCTTTCTTCGCAGCTGACCTCAAAAAATGCTTTTGACGATTTATGATGTGTATGATAATTAATTATCTAGTTCGTATTCATGAGAAAAGCGTTTCCATTCGATCGGAGGACTGGAGGTTTTGCGACGGAAAAAGTTTGTTTTCGCTTAATTCGAGCCGAGAGATGAGGCGAATTAAACCATCTTTTCGATGGGCTTTGGTTACCACAAGTTTACGAAACTTTGGATTTTTATTTTGTCTTGCACTGTGCGGATCGATTTTTAAGGTCGTTTTTTGACTGCACTGTGCAAAAAATACAATTTATTTTTTGCACGGTGCAAATTTGAGAATTTTTTTACTGCACTGTGCGGTTTTTAAGGGTAATTTTTTGGCTGCACGGTGCAAAATTTTAGTGTGAAAATTTTGCACGGTGCAAGGAAAAAAAAGATTTTTTCGATTGCACGGTGCGATAAAAATTCTTTTGTTATATTGCACTGCGCAAGAAATCCAATTTACTTTTTGCACGGTGCAAATTTTAGAAATTTTTTACTGCACTGTGAGGTCATTAACAGTAATTTTTAGGCTGCACAGTGCGAAATTTCAGTGTTAAAGTTTTGCACAGTGCAGTGGAAAGGGACTTTTCGTTTGCACGGTGCAAAAAATTACGTTAAATTTTTGCGCGGTGCAGATTTTAAAAAACTTTTTTGAATGAGCTTTGCTAAAATTAAAAAAAAAATTGCATTTTGCCAAAATTAAAATTTTTGTGGTTTATTCTCACAAATTTTTCCATCGACCACAAAATCGACCAAATTTTTCTTTATTATTTTTGCACGGTGCGGACATTTTTCTTTCAATTTTCTGCACCGTGCAACCTCCAAAATCCTCCATAAAATTCCGCACAGTGCAGTTTACCCTCCAAAATCCTCATATCCCAACATTCGTAAAGTTGTCTCCCACGGCTATAAAGCTCATCCTTTCCCATTTTAATTATTTTTAATTCCGCAAAAAATTGGATCAGCCCGTCGAGAATGAGTTTTTTATTTATTCTTCACCCCAACTTTCCATCTCGTTTTGTGCATTAGATGCTGTTCGTTTTCCCGGAAATTATGGGTTTTCGAGCGCACATTAAATCGGCACCAAGGGTCACTAAATAAATAGAAGCGGGGAATTTGCGTCGCGTTTTCATGAACTGCGGTTATCAGAGGGCGAGTTGGTTCGTAATAGTGTTTATTTTGGTCTGCCACCTTTCGATATTCGATATTATTTTGTATATTTTTGAAGCAAAGGGAGGATTTTTTGACCAAAAGTTAATGGCAACCTGAAATTCTCCATGATTGATATGTGGCTTTGTGCATGCAAAATTAAAGATAATTCTAAGCCTCTTACGATAAGCGTTTTTGTTTAAAATGGCCGTGTTACAATCCTAAATGATCATTGTAAAATACGGCGTCAACATGTTTGTTTTTGGAACAAGTTTTTTCATTTTTTTTTTTGACTGAAGAAGACCCTCTGTATAACGAAATCTCGTTCAACGAAGCTTTTATATCAGTTGGTCAAGAAAATAATGAACACTGTGTCGCTACGCAAATCGTGTCGCTGAAGTGGAACACAATTTGGTCTTTCCCCGACAAAATTCATTTTCTCGGCGGCGATACGATTTTCAATGCGGCAGAGGGCTCATTATTTTCCCGACACACTGTTATAACAACAAAGTCTCAAATTAAAGGGAATTTTAGGCCAAAATAAACTTCAAAACAACAAAACCTTTGTATTCCAAACTCATTTTCCTCCTATTCCTTGCAAAGACCTTTGACTGCACTTGCAAAACATTCCCAACCGTTTTTTCGCCGCTGCACTCAACTATTTCCACATTCGAATATTGACTTTGGCTTGGGGACCTCCCGGTTGAATGGGGTTGAAATTTCGCAGAAAAAACGCCAAATTTTCCATAATAAAAGAAACGGCCCGACGGGAAAAGAGGATTTCGTGAATTTTTTCGGGAAAGAATTACTTTCACTTCTAGTGTGGCAACCGGATATTTTATTGTCCCGAGCGTCGAACGGCTTCAAATATTTTTCACCTCAAGGGGAGTTGAGGTGAAAAATTGGGATTTTTAGAAAAAAAAATCCTTTTTCTTGCACTGTACGCATCGATTTTTAAGGATGCTTTTCCACTGCACTGTGCAGAAAAATAATAGTAAAATTTTGCACGGTGCAAAAAAAAAGATTTATTTTCTTTGCACGGTGCAGATTTTGGAAAACTTGTGTTTTGAATGCGCCGTACTCAAATTAGAAAAAAAAATTTTGATTGTGCAGAAATTAAAAAAAAATTTTTGGGCAGTGCGGTTTACTCTCCAGAAACCTCATATCCCCTTCAATCGTGCCAGAAGTTAATATTTTTTTGCATTGTTTTGAACTTCCTGCTAGATTTTGCCTCAATCTATACATGTATTCAAACGTATTTTACCCTACTATCGAGATTCTTCAGACTCTTTTTTTACTCATCGTTGCCCATTTCTCCTCTCATTTCCTTTTCTTCTCCTTAAAAAAACACGATCACGCAATTCCATTGCTGACTTCTTAATGTCAACTTGATGTCACCGAAAAAAGAGACATCCAAAAAAAGTTTTGTTTTCATTCCACGGAATATTTGTCCATCGTAAAGTCGGGGTTTAATTTCTGCATTTGAATTTGATACTTTTGTGATTTTTTGTTTTTAAAAAGAATTTATAAAAAGGCCTTGTCGTATTTTAAAATTGAAATTTTTTTCGTCGCGAAAATAATTTTTTTTTCCTATTTTACTAAGCAATTTGTTGATCCAGAAATTTTTTCCAGCTCATGGAACATCAAGTTATCCCCATTAGCCCCTAAATTATATATTTATTATTCCCATTCATAAATTATATCGGATATAAATGCCAAGAGGCCGGATAAAGGCCCAAATATTCGGGATGCGGATATGGGCTTCAGTAGTGCTGCTAGTTATGAGCTTGCATTATGGTGAATCTGCAAAGCAAAGAGGTAAAAAATATTTTTTAAAAAGTGGAAAAGAAATTTTAACGCAAAAAAAATTGAATACAAAAGAAATATTTTTAGAGATAACATTTTTTTGGTTTTTTATAAGGAAAGTAGCGAAACAAAATTTTTGAAAGCATAGGATTTTTTTGAAAAGCAAAAAAATGAAGAAAAAATTATAAAGCATCAATAAATGTTTTTTTAAAAGTTTCTAGAAAGTCAAAAGCACAAAAAAATCAAAAAAAAACTTTTTTGAAAGGCAAAAACCAAATATATTTTTTTCTTTTAATTTTTAATTCAAATTATTTTAGTTCCCTCACCTCCATTGGACCTCCAAGTAGTCGCACTGAACGCCACAACGTTTAGAGTGGCTTGGAACAAGCCAGAGCACTCAAACGGACAGATTTTTGGCTACTACGTCTACCAAGATAAACTTGTGGACGGAGCGCCAACGCCGAACGGACGGAAAAAGAATGTGCTGTGGAATCAGAATGTGAGTTTTGTTTTTTGCTTTTTTTTTGCCTATTTTAGTGTTTTTACTTTCAGTAAAAAATCTGTACAACAAATTTGCAAAAAAAATTAAATTAATTTGTTATATATGTTTTTCGATGTACGAAGTTTTATTTTGGCCAAAATTTTGGCCCTATTGCCACAAAAAACATATTTCATCGTATAAAATGTCGACTTCTCATAACAATGAATTTTCAGGCAAACCACACGATAGTTTCTGACCTAGAGCCCAATTCCGAGTACATTATTAGAGTGAACGCCTTCAACGAAAATGGCGATGGAGAATTTGCGAATTCGGAGACATTCCGAACTGGGAGAAGTCGTAAGTTTTACTGTTAGAAAATTACGCGTTGACTGTTCACAACGTATTTTACAAATTACTTTCACGTCTAAAAATCAATGACAGCTTATTTTTAATACTACTCTGTTCGCAAAGTCGCAAAAAAATAAAAAATCAAGAAACTCATTTGTTATAAAGAGGTTTCGTTTTAAAAAAGTTCACTTTAGCCTAGAACAGCCTGTTTGAATCTCTAAAACCTGTCACTGTAGGCAGCCTTAGGATTTTTACCAAGGCTGATTTTACAAACTTTCCACAATATTCAAATTTACGGCCACTCCAACAATATCATATCACCTTTCAGCTCCTGAAGCCCCAAGGCCTCAATCCGTCTCGCTGATGGACGAAAATCCTCCGCTCCGAGCGAGAGTCGAATGGCTTCCAGCTCCTGATCGCGGAGACAACGCCAGAGCTCCAGTCAAAGATTATCTTGTTTGGTATCGCGCGACGGATAGCGATGGCTACTGGAAGAATGTGCGGGTCGCGGGAAGCGAGACCAGCGCCGTTTTGGAAGATTTGAGTGAGTTTTTTGGTTTGCTTTGGACGCAAGAACGTATTTTACAATAGATGAAGAGGGTTTTTGATGATTTTTGGAGCGATTTATATATTGTAACACAGATAAAGAAATTATAAAAAAAGTTCTTTTATAATTTTTAGAGCCATATAGATAATTTACTAAGGAGATGTTAACGTATTTTACAATAGCAGAAGAAGCTTTTTCTGATTTTTTAGACCCCCATATTGTCATTTTAAAGCCTCATGGCGCTACGTCAATGTTTGATTTTACATTTTCTTTAAATTAGAACTAAAAAAGAGAACCGCGAAGGAGGCGCAGTCGTATTTTAAACTTTTTTTTTGCCAATACGTTAGACATCTTTTGCAAAAATCTTTTTTTCCAGACATGGGAACAGAGTACGAGATTCGTTTGGCCGCCCAAAATGAGGACGGTCGCTCGGACAACGTCACAGAGCGTTTGAACACTCCCGTTGGCCGTCCATCAGCGCCTCCATTGAACATTCGATACTCGATCAGTGGAGACAAAGCCACATTCCAATGGGATCCGCCAATGGAAGAGTTCCAAAACGGGCCGATTACCGGTTACCATGCGGTTTTGGCGTGCTCCGATAATACTCCGCCAAGGCATCAGACTGTAAGTAAAGGTCATGATGAATATATTTCTTTGCGATTTTTTCGAGGTAAAATACGATAATTGAAGCGACATCGACCTCATTTTTATCTTTTCTATGTTCTATTACCTTTCAAGGACGTATTTGAAAAATTCCCGCTTAAATCTTCACTTGCAACAGAATGCCAAGATTTGCAAAAATCTCGCCAAAATTCAAAATTTCAGGCCAGAATTTTATATTGCGCGATTTCAGGTGACCCGACAGTGGTCTCAGTACACGATTGACTTGAAAAAGAGCTATGGCTTTCGCGTTGCAGCCTCAACTTCCAAGGGAGACGGCCCATTCGCAGATCAAATTCGAGTGCACCCCGCGGACGGAGGTTGGTTTACTTTTGAGCTGTTATTTTAATGTGTGCTGTGGTTAAAATTGGCAAATTTTGAGTTTACATGTGTTGGTTGGATGTAAAGTCCTTAAAAATCAGTGTTATTCCGAATGCCAAAGCGAAAGATGTTTTCGTAGTGAGACCTAAAAATAATAAAAGCTTAGGTAGACCACGGGTTAAAATTGTAAAATACGTAATTCGGAGGGTAATCAAATGTCTAGTTTGTAATATAATTCTGCAATCCCAAGAAAGTCATGTTTTCGTGGTGAGACAAAAAAATTTTTTTTTTTGTTTCTTTTTATACCAAAAGCATTCAAAAATTCACTTCCTCGTCACAAAAAAAGATTTGCAAAAAAAAACGTCCATAAAAATTCAACCAAATCCCATGCCACCATGATATCATCATCAACAACATCGAACAACCGCAGAAATCTATAAATATTAAAACGCCGCGAATCCCGGCGCACCGTCAAGGAGACGTCAATGTCATGGAAGAATGGGCAATTCTGTATCAACACTTGCGGGCGCTTCGCTTTCCCCGCACCGAAATGGAGACGTCGATTTGGTGGGGGGCCGCGGCGGGCGGCGGATAAAATTGCTCAAGTCAACTGAGGCTTGAAGAAAAGAAACCGACGGAAATTTTACTTTTTTTGGCGCCTCCGGCCACAAACTTTCCAAACACGACTGGTTGTTTTTTCCCCAAATTTTTCGGTTTGAGACGGGATACTGCGTTTGGAATGCAAGGTTTTTTTTGTCAACTTTGCTTTTTATGGCCTCCTGGAGCAGAAACGGTATGAAAACGGGCCATATTTGGACGTTTGCGGAGTCGTTGAAATGTTTTCGGCGACATGCACTGTGCAAAAATAAAATTTCACTTTGCACTGTGCAATTTGCTGCTTTTTGCACCGTGCAACAACTTTTTTGGACTGTCACTCGCCTCCTGATTTTCTGCACAGTGTGAATGCCAAAATTCATTTCAGCGACTGTAGGAATGTCCAAACGTCGCAATTTGGCCGCTTTCTTTGTAAAACATGTTGTTTGTCGGGCCCTTTTTTGTTTATAGAGTATACTATTGTCATGGGGATTCACAAGCGCCAAATGAATGTAGATTCTGGTCTATTACTCATTCTGACTTGTTTTTTTATAACGTTGGAGGCTATCAATGTACTCTAGTTGGGTGCAAGAGAGGTATACATACATAAAGTTTAATTAGGCCCGGAGTTTTTGGGATTACTTGCAAAAAAGAGATTTTCGTAAAAAGATAGCTCAACTAGTCGATTATTTTTTGAAATTTCGTCCAGTAAATCCTTACAGATCACTTATCAATCGCTGAAAACTCTAGCTTTAGATTTCCAGCAGCGACTGACATATTCAGCGATCTTTGTGCCATAGTCCACATATTGTCTTGCGCTGAAATTTTTTACGATCATCGCCCCCTTCTCAACGCTTTGAATATGATACCGGCACGTGCGGAATGCTCATACATTTTTCGCTCTCCACTTAAACGCGTCCCAAAAATTTGACGGCCAAATTCGGATCCGGTCATCCGAAAAGGCGCCGAAAACGACGGGTAATCCAATATCTGAAGGGGTTCAGGTTTTCTCCTATATACCGATTGTTGACTCACTTCTCTTGCTCCTAAAACGGTGCTAAGTCCTTTTTGGGTCGGTTTAATTAAAATTCAAAGGGTCTAGCTTAGGGGTTGAGTGGCTAATGTCTGATTTTTGAGACTTTTTGGTCGTCATTTGCGATTTTTTTATAACAATCTGTCGAGAAAATAAAGCAAATTTGAAGAAGCAAAATGCCTCACGGATCAAATTTTCAGTTGGCCGAGAAAGCTTGTCGTTGCACCCTGACTTTTTCTGCACAGTGCAAACACCAAAAATCACTCCAGCGACTTTGCGAAGGATCTAGCTTTAGGATATAATCTGCAACTCACCTTGCAATCCCCTTTCAAAGCTTTTTTAACCCGATTTTCTCCTTATTCCCTAGACTTTCCTTACATTATTGCGGCAAAATCCCCTTAGCTTGTCTAGTGAAGACGTTGGAGACAGTCATTAACAGCTCGTTGTAAAAATTTCGCAACGCATTCACTTATTTTGCTCTTCAAGCAAAAGATAAACCAGTCTGAGACGTTTCCTTTTAATGGCTTGATATTTGGCATGGCCTTTGTATTTATGGCTGTTTATAGGTTTTTTTAAATGTATTTGCGGCGGTATTTGTATCACTCTGAGGCTGCGACAAATCGACATTATTTTCCCGACAGGTTGATAACATAGCCTAAACAATTTTTCCTATCTCTAATCACCTCTTTTACTGTATAAATAAGCCCGTCATCGCTCCCAAAAGTGCTCAAGTCTTTCCGAATTTCCCCTTGTTACTCATCCAAAGGCAAAAAGTCATCATCGCCAACCTCGAAAAACTTGTAAATTCCACTTAAAGAGCTTGGCGTGCTGTAAGCGGAGGTCATTTTCATACATCCCCGCACTTGGCCGCTCCTCGTTTGAATTTTTAATCGCATGGATACGCGCCAAATTTTCCGCCGTTTCAATTCCCCTCCGCTCGAAGGTGTTTTGGACGCCGTTTTTTTTGTGTGCAAAAATAGTACTTTGCGATATTGGAGAGGTGGTTGTTATGATTGTAAAAAGTCGGGATTTGGATTTATTACATTGCTCTGAAAGATTAGAATTTTATGCACGGTGCAATGGAAAGTTGTTTTTTGCACCGTGCAGACGAAAAATTTTGTTGCACAGTGCGGAAAATTTTGTTTTAAAAAGCCGCATTTTTTGCACGGTGCAATGGAAGATTACATTTCTGCACTGTGCAGTCCGAAAAGTTTGTTGTAAAAGCTGATTTTTTTGCACTGTGCAGTCGGAAAAATTGATTGCACAGTACAACAAAAATTTTTGCGAATTTTTGGGTTTAAAGAGGATTTTTGAGATTTTTACAACTTTTTAAAAATTTCATTTTTTTGCACCGTGCGAGCAAAAAATTTCGTTGCACTGTGCACATTTTCCAAAAAAAAATTTTTCCAAAATTCTGATTTTTGCTATTTCTGAGCCGAAAAAATGACGCAATAGTCTCGTATTAGGTCTCCATATTTACCTGATATTTGTCGTTTGACCCTACATTTCTCTAGTTTCATCTCAAATTACCTAATGGAGCCTGAAATATGCGAGCAGGGTCTAAAATACGTCGGTTAAGTGCAAATTCTTTTTTCGAATACAAATCCTCCGAGCTCAGCGTTTCAAAACGCTGTCCTCATGAGGGCGGGGTATTTATCGGATCCACTCTCTAATTTGAGCTAATCTCTCTGGAGATTTTTCGGGGTGAAATTCTTTATTTTTTTTGACGAATATGGAAATTTCGCCTCACACTTGTCGGATTTCTCCCTTTTACTTGAGTGGCCGCTGAATATTTAATCGAATAAATGGATGTTGAGGCTATGTGCCACTTGAGGTCAATTGAGCGGGAATTTTGGGGAATTTTCATTGGGTTAGTGGGGATTTATATAGCTTTATGTGGTAGTGTAGGGCCCTATTTGAGTTTTTACAGCGGTTTCCGCGGGTATTTTATTACGTAACATCCGTATTTTATAGAAAACCCGAAAAAATCGAGAAAATTTGAAAAAATTGCTAAAAAATCTCAAATTTCCGCTTTTTTGTTATGTTTGCTAGATATATTTGGTATTATTAGACTCTGCATGATCTTATCTTTCAGTTTGTTTTACAAAAGCTTCGTGTAAAACGTCGTATTTTACCCCAAAGCCCAATTTTGCTACAATCACCGGCTTTTAGTCATTTAAAATTCAAAAAGTCTCATTTTGAATACCATAACAAACTATTATCATATGCAACACATGACGTGAATTTCCAGACAGTCATTTTTAAGGGAAACCCATAAATAAATAGAGCAAAAATAATTCCATAATTTTTTTGTTTTTCACTAAATGCAGGTGTGCCATCGGGAATTCCGTTATTTTTAGTGGGTAAAAACTGGCATTTGGATTATTAGCGGGTCTTATTTTATCTTTGTAAAGACATGTTGAATTTTTAGAGTCTTTTAGGCTAATGGAAGAGGTGCTCCAAGTGCGACGCTCAGATTTTGATTGGAACTTAGGAAAATTTTCATTTTTTGCTTCAAAAAATCGTTTTTTTTTTCATTCAGAACTGACAAAAAGTGGCCCAAAGTGGCCAAAAGTGGCAATTGTTGTTCGCTCTGAACGATCTCCACGTTTCGTGTACTCTCTCGGTCGCGAAGATCGCTCAATATCTCGGCTATCCCTGCAAATTTTCAAGAATTGATATGTGGCTGAAAATTGAAACAAAATCTTAGCGTCGCACTTCGACACCCTCATTTTGAAGTGCCATGTAAATTTCCCCTAAAATACGGCTCTAATTTTTGGTCTTCTCCCCTTTAAAAACCTCAAAAACCAGGAAGCCCTTTTTTCGACGACAAACTACAATGTCGACGTCGGTATTGTTGTTTTCCCCCAATTCTGCAGCCCATTATTAGTGGATTATCACCATTATTTTGGGGAAGTACTGAAAGCAAAAATGCAAGGGCAGGTTGTACTAGATTGATTAGATTAAATGTATTGGAAACGGCAAAATATTACTTTGCAAGCCTTTACAGAGTAATGAATTTAGTGGAATATTATACTTTATACTCTGTTTTTTTACTTCTAGGCCTGTTTATTTGCAAAAAATTGTGGGTTTCTTAAAATTTTTATAAAATATGCCATGATGACGTAAATTTTGTCGGCGTTTTGGGGTTTGTTTTTAGTAGATGTCTTCTAGAAAGCATAAGGGTCGTTTTAAAACATTTTACAACCTATTTCTACCTTATTTTAGTCTATAAATGACGAACCTTCCAAAAAATCCGTCATGATGACATTAATTTATTCTTGGGTTTGGGTATTAATTTTATCGTAGCTGTCTTCTAGAAGCCTTGGAGATTATTTTAAAAATTCTTTCAACCTATTTTTACCTTATTTTAGTCTATTAATGACAAATTTTACAAAAATTAACCAAAAAATTAAATTTGCGATTTTTTTTATGATTTTTGATTTTTTTGATGCCCACATCAACTTCAGCACCCTACAATTCAATTACACTCAATTTGGCTCCCGCATTTCAGCACTATAAAGTCCGCGACCTTATAATCACCATTTCCACCTGCTATTCTCCCCGCTTTACTTTCGTTCCAAAATTGCCCGACAAACGGTGTGCGTTGGCCGGGATTAGGTCCCAAAACGGATATGGGAGGACTTAGTTTCGCATAGCGTGTGTGGGATGTTCTGGTTTGGCGTTTAATTCCGTGTTTCGGCTAATTGATGGGGGGAGAGCTAAATTAAGCGGATTTGGGGAGAGTTTTCGTCGATTTTATGGCCGATTTTGCGGGAATCTCGGAAAATGCCGCTCAGTAAAGACAGCTATTATCTTTTCCAAAAATTCCAAGGTACGGCGGCAGCATATTATTCAAAAATGAATAAAAAAAATGGCAATATTTTGTCACATTTTTTGCCAGAAAAATACAAAAAAATCTTTTTGGGCCTCTCACTTGTTCTTTTACACTAGGAAGACCCCCTCGGATTAGCAATTTAATCTATGATGTTGATAATTTACTAATTGCCTCGCTAATTATTAGTTCCGCTAATAGTCCAAATACTTTTTTAATACCGCCACCGCAATAAAAAATAATTGAAATGCCAAAAAAACTCTTAAAATTGAGACCTCCCAAGCAAATTGTTGTCATTTTTTTATCATAAATTTGTAGTGTTTGCCTCATTTTGCCCCTACTTTCTACTTGTCTACACTAGTCTTTAATTTTTCAGACTTTCTTGGCATTTTCACATTGATTTTTGATGTAAAACCTTGTTATATCCGTCTGCCGGGAAAGTAATGTGGACTTGATGACGTAAAAACCGGTATTTTGTTGCCTAGAAATTTCAAAAAAGTGTTTCTCAACAATTTTCGTCCAAAACAACACCATTTCGCTGAATAATTCCAAAAAAAATCTCCAAAAATTGCAAGCTTCTCATCTATTATGCCCAAAGCCGCCCTAAATTCGGCCGCATTCGCGGTAAATATTTGCAGAGAAGGAGCGACAAATCCGGGAAGCGGCCAGAAAATAATGCATACTAATCGTCATTCGGATTATTTTTCATTAGAAAGCAGAGAACAATGCCAAAAACGTCTCGTCCCGAGGCGGTGAGTGGGAGTTATGTTCCTGAATAGCTGGAGAATCACTGTAGCGGGTCATGTTTTGATGTAGTCATGTTTTTTATTGCTTTTATGCGATAAAAAATATGACATTGACGCCGAGAAAATGAATTGCGTCGCGAAAAAGTCAAATTTTTTTTTCACTTTGGCATCGATCGGTGCAGCGACATTATGCTCATTATTTTCCCGACAAACTGAAAATATGGTTCAGGAGACCTTTGAAGCCAAAAACTACTGAGCATAACTTTTTGCAAAAAAGGCCTCTATATCAGTCTGTCGGGAAAATAATGTGGATTCGTCGCGCCTTGTTATCGTCCATCATCGTTTTTCCGGCCAGCTGGGAATTTGAAGCGGGACGAGGCGAGACATTTTATTTTGTCATTTACACATCATTTTCCCGACAGACTGATATACCAAGTTTTTACATCAAAAACTCGATATAAAAATGCCAAGAAAGTCTCAAAAATCAAAGACTAGTCCGTTCGCAAAGTCGCTAAAGCGTTTTTGGCGGCATGCACTGTGCAGAAAAGGTCAGGGTGCGAGCGACAGTTCAAAAAACCGATTGCACGATGCAAAAAATCGAAAATTGTATTGTCCAAATTTGGACTTTTTTCACGGAGTTTAAATTTAGTGGATCATATTTTGATGGAATTACACTTTTACCGCTTCTAATCTAGCCATCTTGTATAAGAATACCCAAAATAGTTACTTTGGGTGGGGCTTAGAATGTCTTTAAGTTAAAATTGCCCGGATTTGAGCTGCTTAAATTGCCCTTTTATTAATTCCACTATCATAATCAGCTACTAGGCCGCTTCGGCACGCACTTTACTTTTTTTAATAAATAGTTGTTTGAAGCTATTTTGTCGCCAAAAAAATCGTTTTTTTATCGTTAAACTCTGATCACCCTCTTTTTGGCCTTTTTTCTCCCGCCAAATCTCTTTGTTTCTTTGAATAAATTAAAATAATCGGACCTTCGATCATTTTTCGTCTAAAGTTCTCTTCTTTTTTTGCAAGAAATCTCTCCGATTTCTCCTTTTTTCCATCCCCAAAAAACGATGATTCTGGTGTTTGTCCCCAAATTTACGTCATTTTGCGGCCTTTCCAATCGAAAAAAGTAAAAAACTTTGTTCTAGCCGCACATTTAGGGCATTGGAATCCAATTCGCCGCTACTCTTTTGCTCGATTAAGATGGAATTTGTTTTTCGGCGGACCCAATTTTGTGTGTTCCGCAAAAAAGTTTGAAGTCAGAGCTTGGGCCGTAAAATTGGAAAGTAGTTTGGGTTGTTAGTGGTTTTTTCGGCGATATTGGAACTTTTTGGATATTTTAGGGTGATTTTTCAAGTTTTTAGGGACTTTGGCATACTGTAATTTTTGAATTGAGAGTTTGGGATTTTTTGAATTTTTCGATTTTTTTTGAGTGTCTTGATGTAGAAAAAGCTATTTATTTTTGGTTTTGTGAGCGATGCTGGGAATTTTAAGACATTTTAAGGGTGATTTTACAAGTTTTTGGGGTCCGCAATATACTGTAATTAATTGCAAGTTTGAAATTTTTGAATTGTTCGAATTTTTTTTTGAATGTTTAAATGTAAAAAAAGCGGTTAGTGGTTTTTTATGCCATATTGGGACTTTTTGGACCTTCTAAAAGTAATATTTCAAGTTGGGGGTACTGTAATTCTTAAATCAAAATTTTGAAATTTTCTGAATTTTCGCAATGTTTTTGGCCTACCTTGATTAACATCTAGATGTAATAAAACTTCTAAGCGCTTGTTTTACAAATTTTAGAATATCTTACAATGATCTTTGCAATGAACACTCATCCCTTTTTTGTCGTATCTCCAATCTTCCTCTTCTTTTGTCCACGGCTTCCTTTTCCTCCCTTTATCGACGTCTTCACATTCATATTCGAAAACGTAGGTGTAGTTGACATTTGGCAGACAAATCCCTGAATAATCACATTAACGTCAGGGCGCTTCCACTTTTGCAATTTCTCATCATTTATTTGTGGATTATGGAGGTCTCTGGTCCTTTCGATAGTCGGATTAAGGTGGATTCAGGGTCATGTATGCACTTACATGTTGTTGTATATAACTGGAGATGTGCCTGGAGAGATTATGAGCTATGTTTTGGATGGATAGTGAATGGGACATTGATTTATCGCCATTTCTTTAAAAACATGGGTTTTTGGGAGTTGGCTCGAAAAAACGTTTTTGTTATAGCGGATCGCCGTTGTATATATACTCAGTATACATCTCACACCTTCTAAAGACCTTCTAAAACCGCTGGCTAGCCACTCGATTCATTAAACAAAAATTTCCGGAAATTTCCTCCAATTCCGTTTCGACCCATCTTTGGTCATGTACAGGGTGCGGCAATTTTTCGGCCGGATTTGAATTGGCTATAACTTTTTTAGTTTTTATCCGAATGTTAAAATTCTTTTTTTCCCTGAATCCTCAGACAACCCCATTTTGTTTAATACCAAATATGTTACATATACAGGGACCTAGTTCATAGTTATTGGCATTTCGGTCGTTTTCTATGCTTTTTCGGCGTGTGTGAAAATCGCCAGAAAAAATGACTTTTTTTACGAATTTTGCCGTAAAAAGTTTCATGCCGGTTCATGCCATGGAGAATACCGTTTCCACAAAAAATCAGCTATCTCCGCACAAAACTAGCGAAGATATAGCCAAAACGTTTTTCTGTGTGACCACTCATGTGCCCTCCTGACCGCAAAGAATCGTTGAATATCTTGGTCGCCCCTGAAAGGTGCGGGCTGAAACTTTCAGGAATTGATGTGTGGCCTATGTCCGGCCCATGTGCAAAATTTAAAGTAAATCTGAGAGTAGCACTAGGGGTAATTCCATTGTCAGCTATGAAAATTAGAGCTTTTTCTTTGTCTCGAATTTTTACTGTGGTCTAATAAACTGGTATAACATATATGGTATTAAACAAAATGGGGTTGTCTATGGATTCAGGGAAAAAAAGAATTTTAACATTTGCCCAAAAAGTAAAAAAGTTATGGCCAATTAAAATCCGGCCGAAAAATTGCCGCACCCTGTATAATATAAAAATGAGCCGCAAACTGTCTACCTTACCTTTTAATATTCCAAATATTTCTTAACTCAGCCCCGACAGATGCTCTTAGACTTTGGTATTAAAGCTTACGTAATAAACTTAATCTGCCCTTAGCCTTTAAGGTGTTTCCTGCTTTCCGCCGGATTTCCAGGGCGTTAAGGGCGCTTTATTCAAAAAAACTTGGGCTAAGAGATATTTAAAGGCTCGATTATGAAGTCTTAATAGTAACCGGGGGTGTAGACTGTGCCATGGAGTTGTAAAATACCGAATACTTTGCTATTTTTTTTGGGCTATAGCTCGAAACTTGAAAACTCGGGGTATTTTTTGCGATTTTTTGAAAATCGTCGCGTTGTGCCGAATGAAAAATAACTTTTATTGTATTGTTAGAGCTTCCTCAGGTCCTATATGGAAAATCCATCAACCTGAACTTCGTTGGACGCACGTAGAATCGATCTCGACGCATAAATTTTCGAGTTTCATCAAAATTTTCGGCCTTTTCCCCCATTTTCTTCCATAAAATGCGTCATGGCGACGAATTCACGGCCCCCTTTACGGACGACCTCAACTCCACCCGTCGCACCACAACCCCAATGTCCAGCGACGAGAAGGAGCCCTTCGACGAGGGCCCCACCACCACCTCCACCGAGCCCACCACCACCTGGCTGGCGCCCGACCCCGCCGACCCCGAGTTCATCTGGCACTTCCCCAACGAACAGCCGATCGTGATCAGCCCCGAGCTCTGCAAACAGGGGATTCTGATGCGCTTCGAGGAGCTGGTCAATCAGCTGAGCACCGGGTGGAAATACCATGTCGCGAATACGGAGGGAATCAAAGACGCCTGGAGGCAGTTTGAGAAGTTCTACGAAAATGTCTGCAGCTACACTGGAGGTGGGTTTGGGGTTTTTTGGGGTGGAAAAATAATAAAAAAAAACTTTTTGAAAAATAAAAAAAATCAAACAAAAATTTATTTATAAAATTTTTTTTAAAATTCAATTTTTACCCCCTAAATCTATCTGCCTGTCGAAAAAATAACAAAAACGTTTTAAAAAAAATTCTGCGTGTTTTTAAAGTTCAAAAAATTTCTTTTTAAAAATTCAAATTTTTTTTTAAATTCAAAAAAATTTTAATTCGTAAAATACAAAAAAAGAAATCATCAAAAGTTTCTTGACCCTCTAAACCTACTGGTCACCACGAAAACATCCGTATTTTCGCTTATCAGGCATTCGGAAAACATGATTCATCTAAAAATTCAAATAAAAACACGGAAGAGTGCTATTCAGCTGATAACGAGAGCGGACGCAGCATTAGCGCACATTCAATGGGGCTTTTTGGGAGTCAAAACACCTTTTAAATCTTTAATTTCGTAATTTCAACAGCATTTTTAGACTTTTTTTTCAAAAATTTCTTCAAATTTCGATCAAAAAATCTGTTTTAATCCAAAAATCCCATTTCTCATTCCTCAATATGCAAATTTCGGCCATCTTTCATCCGCTTTTATCGCATTGCCATCAATATTTATCTTCACCATGACATCCCTTGTCCTTTTCCATTGGAATTCGGCCAAAAAACGACGTGGCCGCGCGAGAATTTGGGTGGCCCAAAGAGGGGCGGCAATTTGCATAAAGCCCGTGGGGAAATTTTATCGCCGCCACAGATTTACAAGTCCTTCGGAGCCGCCGTTGGGCCGTAAAAATTATGAGAGAAGTTGATGGGAAACGGGAGGGGCGTTATCAGCGAGTTTTGCGATTTTTCATTCGAAAAAGGAAAGTTTGATGCGTCAGCGCGGTACTCTGGCAAATTAGAGTAAGCGTAGAATAGGTCATGGATGAAAGCTCCTATCAGTCTGTCGGGAAAATAATGAGCACTCTGTGGAGAGCGACCAGAGAAGTTTTTTGCGCAATATGTTTTGATTCTGTCTTTGAACGATGTCGCAGGAATGTTTTTCGGGTCCGAGAACGGCCACGAAGTCTGCTGGAAACTTGTCGCGGATTGTAGATGAGATTTGACCTAAAATTTGCGACAAAAATTTTTTGTCGTATTTTGGTCTAAAAGTCATTTTTAGAGCGTTTTAGGACATAAAAATTTTGTCGCTAATCTTAGTGCAAGTTTACACTAAATTTTGCGACAAAAAATTTTTGTCGTTTTTTTCTCTGAAAACGATTTTCAGCGCGTTTTTGGACAAATTATTTTTGTCGCTAATCTTAGTGCAAGCTTACACTAAATTTTGCGACAAATTTTTTTGTCGTATTTTTGTCTAAAAGTAATTTTTCGGTTGTTTAAAAAAATTTTGTCGCTGATTTCAGTCCAAATTTTTTGTCCAAAAAGTCACAAAATCCTAAAATTTACCTCTCCAAAATCACTTTTATAACCCCTTCATTCAATCTCCCTTTCCTCCATATTCTTCCCAGGTCCCTCTTTCACCTCCATAACCGGAATTAGCCATGTTTTTCCCCGCTCTTCTTCCCCTCTCGCGTCTTCCAGAACTTGCACTGGAGGACGCGAAATTTGGCTTCAAATCGACCGTGCGAATGGGCTTTTGAGGAAAGCCACTGGCGCGTCAAACGCCTCTGGTCATTTATTCGCACGCGCCTGTCGTGGGAAACGTTTCTCTATGCAAATTAAATGGCAAATTAAATTTTTAAGCCATTTTTTGGCGATTTTTCAAAATTTTCGGGCAATTTGACCATTAACTTTTTTTTGAGGGAGCAGTAAATTAAAATTGGATGCGTTTTTCGAATATCTTTTATGATTTTTATTAAAAAAATTTTTTTCTTCGGAATGAAGCCAATCGCAGCCATTGTTCCGGAAATCTTGTTATTGCCGCCGCAGGCGGAAATCCAATTGAGTTTATTAAAAAAAAATTCTCCATGAAACACGTGAGATGTATTAATCTGTTTTTCAAGATTTTTTAGTAACAAATTTGTTCGTAACCGCAGTTTCAAATATTACACTAGACACTATTCCCCAAACTTTGATTTTTCCCATTTTCCTTGCGTTTGACCTAGAACAAAGCATCTATTTGGCCATATAAAGACGCATAAAGGCCTAGAAAAGGTTTTTACAGCGGAAACAATCCTGGTTTTATTATGATATACTACAAAATCTCATCAAAATTACGCATAACCGACCGAAAACGGTTATTTTTGGGAAATTATTGGAAATACCATCATAAATCAGACAAATGTTTTGGCTCTCGTCCGGGATTAGTAATACTTTTGCCTGCTTTATGTGGTCCTCGACGATAAATCGCGTGTTCTACAGGGCAATAAAAACACAAGCGGAAAACGCGGCCGTTTTCGGATTTTAAACCCGCAAAAATGCGTTGTTATTTTTGGCGGACTGAATAGACTATGGCTTTATTACGTTTACCATGTGTTAGTTTTCGTCTTGTGGGATCTATAGATGGATTATCATGTCGCTTTTCCATTGATGCTTTGATTTTTTGGCGATTCTTTGATTTTTATCCAATTTTGGGGACCTTTAAACAATTGCTTGTAATTTCTTGCCTAAGGGCAAGTTTGAAATTGCCAATTGAGTGGTGGATGAACATGCCTTTGGCTTCAAATTGATACTATTCACGCTTTTTGGCTTCGAATTTTGCGGAAGTTATAGCCTTTCAAACTTTTCCCGCAAAAAAATCCGTTCCTTCCGTTGCAGCGGCCACAAATTTAGCCAATTTGCATATCCCACCCTTAAGCCATATTTAGAAATACCAGCAGTTCTCTGGCAACGTCCAGTTTCCTCAAATTTTTCCTTCACCATCTCATAACATTCATTTTCTCATCAAGTTCTGGCCTAATCTCCAATTCACTAATCCCCAAATCTCCATAACAAGTTCCCCATGCTCATGGCGCGCAACGAACATGAATTCCGCCGGCCCCTTCGGCCATACGCACGCTCTCTTCGGGGGCCCCGACAGCAATTTTGCACGACCTTTTTTTGGCGTTGACTTTATCCTCTTTTGTGTTCTCTTTTCGGCCGGCCCTTTTTCGTTGTTCATGAAGGGCGGGGGATGAGAAAAGACGTTTGAACGGGCGGCTTGTACTTTGAGGAGGGACGAGATTACATGCTGACGTGTGGTACGCATACCTGCGCAGCAATCTGTAGTGTTTTTGGCCGGAGTTGAAGAGGATTTTCTTGAGATTTTTGAGATTTTTTGGCCAAAAAATTAGAATTTTGGGGAGTTTTGGTGGTCACAAGTTTTTAAAGCAATATTTGTGACTAGAAGCTGTTGGAAATGCCCTTTTATGGAGTGTTTACTTTTTATAACTATCCTCTGTAGGAGTAGCAAATTGCTGTTGGCATTTTCAGTCATATTACATTTCAAACCCCCCAGTTTTTTTGTCAAAAACATCTCTAATCCCTTAATTTTTCTCCGAAATTAGGGCTTCGCTCATTTATAGTAATAGTTATTGCCCAGAAAGCTAGTTATATCTGCATTTTATATATCATACAAGTCCTATCCAGCACAATCATTATGTTTTCCCCTCTAAAATTTATACATTGTACCTCATGATATTTGCATATCCTCCCGAATATCTCCAAAATCCCGCAGAATATTTTTATTTCCCCCTCGTACCCTTTTATCACGCCCCTGGCCTCCCAAAAGCAGTCATTAAAAACTTCTTCATGTTTAAATGCCCTCAGGATATTTGGCTGGCTGCACCCTTCAGGTAATGAAAATTTGCGGCCTTCAGGATTCTTTGGACTCTTTTTGGAGAAAATTTTTGCGAAATATGTTTTGATTCTGTCTTTGAGCGATGTCATGGAGATGTTTTTTGGACTGCAGAGCGACCAGGAAGTCTGCTGGAGGCTTGTCGCGGATTGTAGATAAGGTGTAGAGTAAATTTTGCGACAAAAAATTTTTGTCGTAATTTGGTCTGAAAATGAGTTTTAGAGCGTTTCAGGGGAGAAAAAATTTGTCGCAGGTTCTAGTGTAAGTTTACATTACATTTTGCGACAAAAAAAATTTTGCCAGATTTTGGTCTCAAAATGATTTTTACAACTTTTAAGGGCAAAAAAAATTGTCGCTAATCGTAGTGTAAGTTTACACTATATTTTGCGACAATTTTTTTTCCCAGATTTTGATCAAAAAATAATTTTTACAACTTTTTAGTCCAAAAAAAATTTGTCGCAATTTCTAACACAAAACTCTACTACCACCAGCGACAAACAACACTTTTATCGACAGTTTATAGTTCTTTGGGAAACCGAACGTTTTGGCGGCATTTCAAGCTTTTTTTGGGCGGAAATTAAAGTTGGACTTGTGTCTCCATTGTTGTCGCGGTGTCTGTGGGTGGGCCTGGGAGAAAAAAGCGAGCATGTCGAAAAAGTTTGGCGATATTTTTAGCCGACTATGGAGAGAATTTAATAACCTTAAGATGTTTGTTTTTGGAGTTCACTATGATGTCGGCTTCTTCCGGTGGGAAAGTTGGGAGGAAATTCGAGATTTCTTATGTTTTTTGGGGATTGTGATGTCTTTTGATATTTGTCCTACTAAATAGCGGCTTGAAGTCTTGTTTTTCGGAGCCAAAATTCTTGGAATCCAATATGTTTAAGAGTAAAAAAATTTTTTATTGCACAGTGCAATAAAGTTTTATTTTCCGCACTGTGCAAAATTTCATTTATTTCTGCACGGTGCAAAATTTTTCTATTCTTTGCACAGTGAAAGAATTCCATACTTTTTGGTTTTATACTTTTTGCACTGTGCAAAAAGTCATTTATTTTTGCACTATGCAAAATTTTACAAATTTCAAGCACGGTTTAAAATTTTAATATTTTTTGTACAGTGCAAAATTTCCTTTATTTTTGCACTGTGCAAATCCCCCTTCCTTCTGCACTGTGCAAAATTTCCAAATTTCCCGCACAGTGCAGTTTTGGAAAAAATCTCAAAATCCCCCGGAATAGCTCATGTAGCTCATATGCATCCAAAATTGCGAAGACTTGTAACCTATCTCTCACAGGTGCCCACCCCTCGTTTTCTCAGAATTCACGCTTGGCGTTCTCCCTCTTTTCCTAATTTCCCCTCTTAATGTCACATAACAGGGCGTCTTGAATGGACGTGTAATCATGTCGGGAGGGACAAAAATATGGTCTGTATTCAAAATTTGGGTCTTTTTTTAGGTTTTTAAAAGGGTATATGCACTTAAAATTACGAGTTTTTGCGGTTTTCAACCCAATTTTTTGGAATTATGCAATTTTTGCGATAAAAAAGATCTTTTTTGTCTTCAAAAATTATTTTTAGGCAATTTTTAGATCTTTATGCAAATTTCTGAACCAAATTTAAATTTGCATATTTTCCGAAAAATTTGCATATTTTCAAAAATTTGAGTAGAAAAATATAATTTTTGAATATAACCTTTCTTCTAAACCCATTTTTATTGAATTCTCTTTGAATTTTGATATTCGCTTTCAAGAGTTTTCTTATTGTCTTTTCTAATTTCGCGAGAACAAGTGTCGCTATTCAAATTTCGCCCCCGATAACCTTGCTCTGAATTGCATAACAAGGACGTCGCGGGGAGGATTTCAAATTAGTTTTTGAGCGTTTGGCTTAGCGATTCCTTGCTTTTACGCCGCATTTTGCCTCTGAACTTACCGAAAATTTTCAATTTGAAAGAAAATTCTCATATAGCGACCAACTACAATTTTACCCCAAATTTTTGATGTCTGAGCTAATCTCTGCTCTTCTCAGTTCATAATCGTGTGAAGACTACAATTCTTTGTTGGCTTCTTTCCGCCGCAAATTGTAAATGGAGTTATTGCGGTCCGAAGCGCTCATAATTTTGTTTTTTTCAATTCCTCCCCGTAATCGCCCTATAAATATGCTCATGAGATAACATGTTACTGCTGAATATTCAATGCAACTTTTTGAGGCCAAAGGCTCGCGCTAAAGTCACGTATTCTCCGCGAAGACGAGATTTTTTGCGGCCAATTGGCCAAAAAGAGCGAGATGCTGAGTCATCCGATATCTTCGATATATCGCCAATTATGGGGCTGATATCGGAGACACTCGGCCAATTACTTGTTAAGCGCTTGCTTGGCAACCCGCCGAAGGGCTTAAAGTGGCAGTGCCTTAGGGCATTTGGCTCCAAAAAACATTTAATTCGTTTTTTGGCGTGGGAAATTTTCGCGGATTATTGGCCGCCCCAAAACAAATGTTGTTTTACGTGAGTTAGGGCAAAGATTCTCGCTGGTCCCCCCGTAAGTTTGAGGCTATTCAGTTGTAGGTATGTCTATTACAAAGCCGTCTTTTAACGATGGCTTTCGACGCGATTGTTTGAATTTTTCGAATTTCCAAATTCCAGGACCCTTGGCTTCGAATAGTGCCCGCAGGGAATCGGATTACCTGGCGCGCTGAACAAGCTGAGGAAGCGAGTGCACGCCGCAAAAAAATTAGAATTTTATTTGCATAGGCGCGCGGACAAAGATACTTTAAGTGGGCCTAATCTTGGGTAATGTCTTCGTGTTTGCGGTCGGTTTGGATTAAAATTCATTCAATTTTTTTGTGTTTCGGATTTTCTAGAGGGCCTTTTGAGATAAGCGTGCGTTACTGGGTTCCCTCGTACTTTACAACCGGTCGAAAAATCATTTTTTTTCAATTTTGATGATTTCGCCTCCAATTTCCTCCCTTTTTTGGTCTCTAAACCATTTAAAAATCCACTAAATCTCCCCAAAAATGATCATGAAAGGCCGCGGCGGAACAGGCCCGTAAAATAATAAATGTCTTCCGCCGAAAAAACACCGATTTCCACCATGTTTTACCTCCACAATTTGTGATGCACGAAAACGGGCGCGCAACCCGTTTTTACGGCGTTTTCCTGCATTCAAAGGGGATTTGCCGAAACACGGAATTCGGGAATTTATTCCAAGCCCTTTCCGCTGGCTTTGTGACATTCTGCGTTCGAAATTAGCCTGAGGGGATTTTGGCTTTTGTCCGTTTTTTGAGCGGACTTCGGAGCTCATGGTTAAGGTTGCTTAGGGTTGATTTGTGAAGTTATTGTGTATTTTCTGCTGAATCTTCTATTATTACTTTGTGAAATACGCCGACTACTTCTGGGATGTTTAATTTGCCCGTGAAAATGTTACTCTGAAACCTGTAAATATCCATTTTGAAGGATAATATCACATCATGGTGGAGTGGAACGAAAATTACTGGCAACGAAACTACGAGCATCGAAATCGTTATATGAATGGTAACGTTTGGGAGCTTAGTAGGAATACTACCCCAAAAAAATATAAATTTTCAAATTCTTATGCAAATTCTTGCAACAAAATCGATATTATCTTACCCATCAAAATATGAACTGGCCAATGTTGCAAAAATCGAATTTCCCGCAAAAGTCCTAAGGGCAGGATGCAAAAAAGGTGTTTTGACAGCATCTGCAAGCCACTGGCTACAAAAGAAGTTGAAGACTTCTCATACTTTTGGCATAACTGAGCCACACCGCCTCAACTTTTGTCCAAAACCCCCCACTTCTTGACCTCGGGCCGAGGATGATTTTTTGTCATTAATGTTTTATGAGGCTCAAAACACAAAAGCCGTATAATCTTTTCCCTTCACGGACCACATTTTACAGCTTTTTCACATGCATTTTTGCCCGCAATAGTATCTTTTCCGGTGTTTTTTGGCCCGACCTTCCTTTTTCATCATTTTTCGACTAATTTTGGACAAAAAAGCTTGTTTTATGGTGTAGAATTGCAGTAGACATATTATAGATGACACCTTATCTCATGATTCTTCCGGAAATGGCGAGGCTTCAACAAAATTTTTATATTTTTTGACAATTTTTACCATTTTTTGTCACAAAACGTCTGGAAATTTGAAAATTGCAAAATTTTCGTTCAACTTGAACATTGTACGCGTTTCCACAACGCTCAATGTCCCCAATTTACCGCCTCCTACCATACACAAAGAAGGAAATACCCGATAAGAACCGCGCCGAGGAGTATTATGCGCTTCGGGGCCGCATGAATATAAAAGCGGGTCCGGGGATAATTGTTCGCCGCAAAAAATAGGTTTGAATGGGTTATGGAGGGCCGGATGAATGCTTCAGATTTGCGCCAGACCACCGCCGGCACATTGACGATGGTTCTGGAAGCGGAAAAGTTTATGGGTTCCGAGGGTTTGCGGGGATTTTGTTGGACTTGACATCTGATGACTAGTATAAGATAAACGGCCTGTTTGGGTGGGTTTTTTCGCGACGTCAGCAGCTATAAACTGTAACTTGACCCGTATTATGCCTAATACTTCATATTTTAACACCCAGAAACCACTGCTCCAAAAAATTTTATAGTTACGGCCAATTTATATTACACTTGACATTAGATGTCAAACTGGTCCAAAACAATGACTTATGCTTTTCATATGCTCTATAATATTTTTTAAATTACTGCTAGCATTGTCATTTTTCATTATCTAAAAGCTGAAATGCAGATGTGGACGTGAAAAGCTGTAAATTCCGTAAAAATGGCAACTTGGAGGCCAAAATACCAGCCTCCGTTATGGAAGACCGATGTAAACGATCGGTTGACGGCTCATAGAGAGCGTCAGAGTGTGTTGACCGCTGTGATGCAGTCGCTCCTACGTCAGGGTAACGGTATATACAAAAATATATATGAAAAAATATGAAAAATTTTAAAAAATTTTAAAAAATTAAAGGAAATTTGCCAATTTTAGCCATAATTCCTAAAAAAATGAGTGTTCCATGCATGGTTTTTGTGTTCTGCATCTAATTGTTGCATTTTCAGCTCTTGTCGGACCTCCTGCAAATGTCACAGTTCAAGCGCTCACCAACGATTCGGTCGTTGTTCAATGGGACTTTGACGAAGGCGCCAACGGCGGGCTTGCCGATGGATTTGTAGTGAAATACATTCATGAGCCCGGTCGGGAAGAACATTCGTCGCAGAATATGGACTTGTGGAAGCCGCAGAGTGTCATGGATCCGAAGGCGCGGCATTTGGAAGTCGGCAGATTAACGGCGCACAAGCCCTATGCATTTTGTGTGCTGGCGATTAAAAATAGTGTAAGTTCGTGGGGAAGTGGTCGATTTTGGAAATTTGGAAAAGTGTATGGGACATGTAAAGGTCTGAGAATATGCCCTTAGGGCTTATTTACAATTTCCCATTGATTTTTTTTTAGATGTTTTGAAGTTTTGGCAAAATTTTTGCCAAAAAATCTTTTTTTTTGATAAAAAATGAGAAAAATTAGTCGATTTTGGAAATTCCAAAGGTGTGTCTTGAACATATCAAGGTCTGAGAATATGCTCTTTTGCCTTATTCATTATTAGCGACGATTTTTTCAAGGTCTTTTGAAGTTCTTGCTAAATTTTTGGCAAAAAATCACTTTTATGCAAAAAGAGATTTTACTGGTAAAATGATGTCATATGATAAGCCCTAAAGGCCTTTGTTAAAGCGGCCATCGATTTTCCGGGATTTTTTTAAAAAAAAAAAATTTCTGTTTCAGCGGCTTGGCCCTTGTTCGGATCCGCCAACGACAATTGAGAAAATATTCCCCACCCGAGTCGTCCAAAATCTTCATGTTCAATACAAAACCTCTCAGTCGGTGGCGCTTCATTGGGATTTTGATTCAACGCTGACGCACAACACCAACCTCGGCTTCTACATCAAACAGTCCGGCACCAAGACGTATCGGACCCAATTCTTGAAGGAGGAGACGTTAACCGCCCCCGGCTTCGAGCGACGGATCTCGGGGACCGAACGGAACTTCCTGTGGTCCAATCTCCGGCCCTACATGAACTACACGTTCAAGGTGGGCGTCTACTCGCTGGACGACGGAAAGGTGTACTGGCCGCGCGAGCTGACTGTGCGCACGGATCCCACGGGCCCTCCGCTGGTCGATACGCCCACTTTTGTCGAGTCGAAGCAGTTGGGCACGGCGGAGTTGCGGATCCCTCCCGCGACCGAAGAGCACGGCCCTATAAGCCACTATTGGATAGTGATCATCCCCGGGAATTACAGTAAAGAAGATGTGTTGAATGTGGATCCACAACATTTGATTCAAGCGACAAATAGATGGCATCAGAATTTGCAGCCGAAGATCTCGGCGAAGTCCGCGAAACGACGCGACTTACGGAGCCTGGATGCGCGCGAAAACTCGGCGTGGGAGACTGAACTTACCGCCGATTCGGAAGTCCTCCGTTTCAACGAAGAGCTGGCGGTTTTGTTGCCCACAGAAGACTCTGGCGTCGACTCGGACTTTGAAATTGACGAGATTCTACAAGAAGAAGCGGAGAAGTCGAGGAAAAGAAAGTTGCCTATGCTTGGATGGGACGACGGGGAAGAGGAATATCCAAGAAAGACGAAGCGAGTGAAACGGATCGCTAAAAGACGACATCGAAGGCATGATAGGAAGCCCAGGGAGCCGATTGCAAGTCTGTCGGCGAGGAGCTTGCAAGGAGTCTACGTGACGGCACAGCTGAGCTCAATTCAAGTGGAGAACATGATGAGGGACAGTAAAACATTCACCATTGGTGATGGAAAGGTATGAGGGGGGATGGCAGATAGGTTGATGAGGCTGTCGGGAAAATAATGAGCACTTTGTCGCAGGGAAAATCGCATGGGCGATGAGAAAATGAAAAGTGTCGCGGCAAAGGCAAATTGCTTCTCACTTTAGCGACACGATTGGCGCAGTGCTCATCATTTTCCAGACAGACTGATAGGCCACTTATGAAGTACATTTTTTCTTCTAAGTTATCTAGAGCCCCTCTAATCATCACGAATTTCCAGGAATACGGTGGATTTTGGAATATGCCGCTCGGCACCGACGCCCAATACCGCGTAATGTCCCGCGCGTTCGCGGTCGACCAAAGCAACTCGCGCTACGAACGGCCCTTCGAGTACCGGGCGCCGATGCAGGAGCCGGCCAGCAAGCTGTTCACCGATTCCATGATCTCCGAACCCTTCAGCTCCAGGCCGGCGATGATTTCGCGGATCGCGAGCCGCACCTCCAACATCTTCTTCTTGGGCCCCGCCATTGCGCTCGTCTTCATCGTGTTGATCATCGGGATGTTGGTGGCGTGGTACTTGAAGTGCTCGAAGAAGGGATCGCCGGCGAGGAATTTCAGTCTGGGAAATGGCACCCTGACCAACAGACATGGCAGCATCACCAAGATTGCGCTTGGCTCCGACTTTGCGCAAATCAATGGGAATGGTGAGTTGTGGGGGAAGCTCGGAGGAATGGGTGTCAGTTTGTCGGGGAAGATGGGATTTTCGATGCAACAATATGCTCATTAATTTCCCGACAGACCCATTTAAATCCCATAAAATCCAAAAGTTTTTGTTAACTCCTTCAAACAACCTCTAAACAACTTTGCTTTCAGGAAACGGTCTTTACAACCCAACCGCCCGCCTAAACGAGACCTCCAAGCTCCTGAACGGCCATGCGAATGGCGGCGCCGACCTCAACGGTCACGCCAACGGTCATCTGAACTCCATGAACACCCTCAACAACCCCTACTCCACCGCGCCGCGCAACGCCAACTACCATCAGAACGACACGGCTCTCTTCGACATGTACGCTCCGAACGGTCATCAGCCCATCAGCATGTCGCAAAACAACCTGCATGATGGAGCAATGTTCACCGACAATATCTACGGTCATCATACCTTGCCGCCACATCATAGTATGGCCATGAGCGGGGGTTTCGGGCAGCCAATGAATCAACCCATCCCGTTGAGCGACTTCAGAAGTCATGTGGACCGTCTGAAGATGAACGGAAACGAAGGGTTCATCAAGGAGTTCGAGAGCATCGACACGGATCAGCACTTCACCTGGGACAACTCCAACTTGGAGGTGAACAAGCCGAAGAACCGCTACGCCAACGTGGTTGCGTACGACCACAGTAGGGTCATCCTGAAGACGGTGACGCGCTCCGCCACCGGCGGACCGCGCGCTCTCGGCCTGGACGCCGTGTACGACGAGGAGGAGGAGCCGGGTAGCGACTACATCAACGCCAACTACATCAACGGCTACTTCAAGGAGAAGGCGTACATTGCGACGCAGGGCCCGCTCCCGGAGACGTTCGCCGACTTCTGGCGAATGGTCTGGGAGCAGGAGAGCGCCGTGATCGTTATGTTGACCAAACTGGAGGAGAGGTCGCGCGTCAAATGCTCGCAGTATTGGCCCAGCAAGGGCTCCGCGATGTATGGGCATATACGAGTGACTTTGGTTGACACCAACGAACTCGCCCACTATACCATCCGAACCATGCGATTGGAGCATATGGCGGAGAAGCAGATCCGCGAGATCAAGCACGCGCAGTTCACGTCGTGGCCCGATCACGGGGTACCCGACCATCCCACACCGTTCTTGATGTTCCTGAAACGCGTCAGAACGCTGAACCCGCACAATGCCGGCCCGATCATCACGCATTGCAGCGCGGGAGTGGGCCGGACTGGCGCCTACATTGTGGTGGACTGCATGACCGAGCGCATTCACGCCGAGAACTCGGTCGACATCTACGGATGTGTGAAGGAGCTGCGAGCGCAACGAATGTACATGGTGCAGACGGACGAGCAGTATGTCTTTATTCATGATGCGGTGCTGGACGCGATTACGAGCGGATCGACGGAAATCCCGGCCTCCAAGTTCCAACAGCACATCAATACGCATATTCTGGGTGAGTGGTTTTGATTTTTTTGATGGCAGCTCTGCAAAATGGTAATTAGATTCTGTCATCAATCTGTCGGGAAAATAATGAGCATTGCAAGAATTGTGTCGACGGCAAATCTTGAAGTGCAGCTCAGCGTTGAAGGGGAGTCGGGGGACGTTTAGACCACCGATCGTTCGCAACAAGTACACACACGCAAACACAAGTTTCTTTTATTCACGTCAACGGGAACAACCGATTATCTTAAGAGCTAATTGGTGATAAAGTGTTCCTTTTATACAACTCCATTTATGCTAATTTCCGTGGGAATTTTGGAGACCTTTGAGGCTCCACGAAAGAGCATTGTAAGAATTGCGTCGAAGGAAAATGAAGTTGCTTTTTATTTTAGCGAGCGATTGGCACAGCGAGATTGTGCTCATTATTTTTCCGACAGACTTATAGCTGTCGGGACAGTTGTTGTCTCGGACAGTATGCAGCTAATGAAACTCCCTTGAACTTGTCTAAATCCTTTTTTCAGGCCAGAACAGCAGCCTTGACCGCGAGTTCGAGAGCCTCATGGCGCTCCAACCGCCGAACGCCTCCTTCCACGCCGCCTCCATGCCCTTCAACCTGCCCAAAAATCGGTCGCCCAATCAACTGCCCTACGACTCGAATCGAGTCCAACTGTCGCGTATCCGCGACGTCGAAGGCTCCGACTACATCAACGCGTCGTGGATCGACAGCTACCGCAAGCGCGGGCAATTCATCGCGGCGCAAGCGCCGATGCGCGACACCGTCATCGACTTTTGGCGCATGATCTGGGAGTGCGACGTGGGAATCGTGGTCTACTTGAACGGGATCCCCGACACGGTGCCGCCGCACGAACACGACAAGTACGCCGAGTATTGGCCGCAGACCTTCCACATGCTGCGTTACGATCAATATTTGGTGGAGAGCAAGAAGTTTGTCGAGTACGAGGCGTATGCGTTGAGGGAGTTTGAGGTCACGGACGATGTGGTGAGTTGGGAAGGTCGTGTATAGGATAATTGATGGTTTTAGACGAAGGAGACCAGGACGATACGACATATTCAGTACCTAAGATGGCCGGATAGGGATTTGCCGGAGACTGAAGCCAGCTTCAACCAGTATATTCAGTTGGTAAGTTCATGAGAAAATATAAAATTTAAAATGAATTTTTGCGTTTGTTGGGAAAATAATGTGGATTTTTTGCAAAAAAAAAACTCGTGTCATCGCAATCGCAGATCAACCAACCGCGGCTTCAACGCCGAGAGGTTTCAAGGCACAAACGAGTCCACATTATTTTCCCGACAAGCTGATAAAAATCAAGTTGACGCTAAAATTACGCTCAATTAATCCTCAATCCCTTCAGGTGAGCCAAACCCAACAACAGTTCGGTTATTCCGGCCCAATCCTTGTCCACTGCACCAATGGCGCGGCGCGAACCGGCGTCTTCATCGCCATGTCCATCATCATCGAGCGGATCGCCGCCGAAAGCGTTGTGGACGTCTTCACCACCGTGAAAATGTTGCGCGCCCAACGCCCCAACATGGTGGAGAGTCGGCGCGAGCTGGAGTTCATCTACATGGCCGCGCTGGACTACATGTCACAGTTATAGTCATCAAAATTGAAATGAAATCTTTTGTTTTGTTGAAACGGGTCGAAAATACGGGATAATTAGTGTCTAATTCTGTCGGAATTGCTTCCAAAATTCTTCCAATTATGTGCTAGCAATCTGCAATTGTATCATATTTTATTATCGATCTTTTGGAAAGGTATGAAACCTCTTCTTTTTAACTCCAATGTTACGGGTCTGTAAACAGGAATTCCATTTGTAAATCGCACCATAAGTTTACGTATTGTTTGTAGTTTTGTTTTCCATTTTGAGAAATAAACAAATTTCGAGTTTAAATTTTTGAAAGTCATTTTTAATGGAGTAATATTTGGGTGCTTATCTGTAGTTGCCAATACAAAATTTTTACCATATTACGTAGATTACGGTAGAAAAATTGGCTGCAGCAAATGTTTGTATCACAGACTTTCTAAACGGGATTTATAAAACGGGTGTCATTGTGACACATTTTCTGGACCCCCAAGGATTTACACGTCCCAAGCTGTACGTATGTTCGCAGATATTTATACACCGTTTAAAACTCGCCAGCGTTTGACCGGTTACATATTGCAGGATACGACTAATTGTACATATAGAGGTAGGGGAATGCAGTAAAAATGGGAAATACAATTGTAAAATGCAGACCACAACATGTGGAGAACACCTGATTGAAATGAACCGCCCATGAAGGTAGCATAACATAAAAAAGATGAGAAAAAAACGAAAAAACCATCTGAATCATCAAAAATACCAAAATAAAAGTACAAACTACCTAATGTGCTGTTTAAAGTCAGTCTACTCTACTTTAAACTTGACAACCATACTAAACACAACTCGAATCGACTTGTAAACAACGAAAAATATCGAAAAAACAACAAAAACTATTGGAAGATAGACATCAAGTCCATAGTATTGCAGTGTATTCAACTGTCGTGCCCTCAAGTCATGGATTTTCGCGATATCGAAGCGAATTGCGTGCTCGGTAAACTTTACAACGCGATCTCGCGCCGACGTCGGTTTGTTTTGCATCATCTCCTTCATGGCTGCGGCGTTGTCGCGAATTTTCTGATCGCTGAGGATTTTTCGAACTGCCGTGATTAGGCTTGTCGCGTCGAGCTGCTGTCGTCGTACCGTGGTGAGAATCCCGTGCATCTCGCCCATCATACAGTTGCGCTCCTGGTCGCCGAAGAGAGGGATGCAAACGGAGGGCACACCGTGAAAGGCGGTCTCGGAGACGGAGTTCAGGCCACCGTGTGTGATGAACCCGATAGTTTTTGGATGCGCTGAAAAGAAGGGGCATGAACACATCTGATTTTGCGAGTATTCATAGGGTCATGCACAGAATCGCTGCTACAGTAGGGGACCTGACCCAGTCGCAAAAAATGTACTATTTTGCATCCGAGAAGCATCGAAAATGTGGGAAAACGCTTCCCTCTCCAAGTGAAAAAAAACTTCGTTTTGAAGGTTGCGCACGTCAAACTGAGATAAGATAACACGCTCCGGTGAATGGATTGGCAATTCGCCAAAAAAAAAGACGCGAAAAAACTTTTTGTCGTGAATGAAATGGGGAGTTTTTGGGGCGAGAGAGTACGGTTTGCGCGTCTTTTCTCTGTCTTCTCTGTAAAATTAAGACGAGTGTATAAAACAGATAGCGAGGAGTCTATTCTGGTCACCGGACCATTACTTTCCCTCGCAAAAAAAGCGGGCTGGCTTGTGAAATCGGAGTTTTTTCACTTGGAGAGGGAGGCATTTTGCCACATTTTTGATACTTCCCGGATGCAAAATTGTGCGTGTTTGGCCACTGGATCAGGTCCCCTACTGTACAAACAATTTTGCCGTCCAAAAATTACCCAAAACCTCTTTCTGCGGCACCCATTTCTCCACAACCACATTGTCCATATGACGGAACAACGGGTCGTACCGATCGTTGTGCTTGAACAAGAATTTGATATCCGGGAATTGCGCAAAAGTCTCGGACAAGATCTCCTTTGTTTTGTTGGGCATTACCTCACCAGTTGCGACGGTGCCAAAAGAGACCAAAATTACGCCGCGGCGAGCCGATTTCAATACTTTTTTAAAGGGCTCAGGGATCTTGCCGGTATTGTGCTGGGTAATTCCACCAATGTAGACGACCTTCTGCGAGGTTGGCTGCTGATATTCGAGGTGCTCGTCGCCGTTGACGAAGGCGTAGGAGCTTTGGACAAATGCGGCCTGAAAATTGGAAATATCATCCTGTCGGGGAAATAATGAGCATTCAAAAGCGGCCTCTGTAGCGGACCATTTCAGAGCCCCCAAAAAATCAATCTTTGCTTACATTAACATCAAAGCTCCGTCCCAACGCCGCTCTGACCGCCTCTTTCACGGGCTGCTCAAAGATCCGATTGTAATAATAATAGCCAATGGGTCTCAACAAGAACGCCTTGGCCCTCTCCACATACGACATGTCGTTGTTGTTCAAAGCGGGAATGTACGCCGTGGTCATTCCGTGCCCCAGCAACTCCAGCGCCTGCGGGAAAATTGGTGCCGCGTACGCGGAGATGTACTTCTTGATGCCCAACACCTCGAAGAGCGCGTACGTGCAGGTGTCGAAGTGTTCGCCAATCGCCAGCTCGAAGCGCTCCTGCCGCAACCGATTGGTCAGGTTGGTGTCGCGCAATTGGTCTGAAAATTTGTCGCTGTTAGAAGAAAAGGCTCTCGAATGCGGCGATTAATCAAGCCACTTACGATAGCAGGCGGTCGCCAGGTTCTGCCCAATGTCTTGGTACATCTGAAAATAGAGGACATTAATGGCGGGTCGGGCAGGTGGTGGAAGACGGATTGTAATGGGGTTTGGGTTACAAAGCGCAACAAAATATTTTTTTGTGGTTTTGATGACTTTTTTCAACGCGAGAAAAGCGTAGACTTTAACGGTTTTTCTATCAGTCTGCCGGGAGAATATGTCACATTTTTATAAAATTTCGGGTATGAATTTTTGCCAAGTTCATCTATATACAGTGGACCTGATCCAGTGGCAAGAAACGTATAATTTTCCATCAGGGAAGTATCAAAAATGTGGCAAAATGCCTCCCTCTCCAACTAAAAAAACTCTTTTGAAATCGGCGCGCTTTTGAAATATCGGTGTTTTTTCACTTGGAGAGGGAAGCATTTTGCCACATTTTTGATACCTCCGGGGTGCAAGATGGGACGTTTTTGCGACTGGACCAGGTCCGCCACTGTATCTGATCTTCGCACTTGAGCTCATTTCCTATAAAGTTCATTCTGCTGTACAATACGCATCCCGCACAGGATCGTGTTGCGAAAAGCGCCTTTGTTTCCAACGGGGTAAATGTTTGCCTTCTACAAAGGAACGGCTTTTTTGGTCAGGGGAAGAATGGAAACTGGTGCCATTGGATGCGGTTTTTGACACATGATCCTGCCCGCGACTGTAAATAGTCACGTCTTTTAAAAATTAGCGAACTTTTCTTTTCACTGGTGGTAAATGACCCGCTGTCAAAAAAAAACAAACCCCTTACTTCCCCATTATGTTTGATGTTTAAAATTAGTCGCAGAAATACGACGTAGCTGAATACCCCATAAACTTCTATCGTATGTTTTGTTCAAGTACAAAACCTATCAATCCAAGCAGACCATGTGTCATAACACGCTGACAGCACGCTTATCTGCTCTAAAACACGCTTGGCCTTCAACGATGGAGTCACTGCTGATAAATAAATAATACAAAAAAGATATCAATGAAACGAAACCGAGAGCCAAATTTGAAATTTTTGTTTTCCTATCGGTCTGGCGGGAATGCACGACTTTTGAGCCATTATCCCAGGCAAAGCCACAGATAATATAAATTTTTAAGCCTCAAACCCCCGCTTACCATCCATTCCTTGTCGCTTTGTCCGCCGGTCTCCCAGAAGTTGGGGAACGGCTTCACGGGGTAGTCGCGTTTCCTCACCACGACCTTGGCATGCTCACACCCCACGTACTTGACCTGATCGTAAAACTCGTGCTGATAAAAGGTCACGTCATGGCCGGCTTCGGCGAGCGCATCCGCTATGCTCCGCATGAAGAGGACGTGCGATTGGCCGAAGCGCAAGGAATACACAAGGATCTTGTGCGAGGTGGAGGGTATAAATAGAGCGGCGAATAATAGTAACAGAGTAGTTTGATAGAACATGGTTGGTTTTGAGGTTAGTTTTGAAGGGGAAGCTGACTAATGATGATTTTATGGGAGATCAGAGAATATTTCAGAGAGATACAGTAAGATAAGTGGGTAGATTAAAGAGCTGACTGGTCAATTGAGTAGTTTACAGTGTAATGAAGACTGTACAGTCGCTTTATTTGAAGTGCTTACTGACGCAATTTCATAAAAGGCAAAAGATGACAAAAGACAACAATAAATCTAGGGTAATGCAAAGAAAGGTACAATGTACTGTTGGAAGATACGAACACCGCAAGACCAGTTCAAGTACCAACGACTACAAGAAGATGGCCAACAATAGCACGGATTCAATTAAACAGTCAACAATAGCACTGTTACGTCAAGGCAAACGCAACGAATACAGTAGGCTTGTTGTTTCGCAGGTAGCTTTGGTCTTTTGCTCGCACAAAAGTGAAATCACCCCGTCGCCCCTCCCCGACCTGCTGCCTTATATAGCAAAAAACACGGCGATTAGTTAGGGGGCAGTCCAAGGCGATTTTTCACACGCGTTTCGAACAAAACCCCAAAAAAGAATCACCTCGGCGAGGTTCGTCGACCAGAGAATGGGAGTTATACGAAATGAAATAGAACGCAAGATGGGGAGAGAGCAGAAAGAGCTTTGGTAGGATGACAAATCAGTGGGAATGAGGACGAAACTGTAAAAGGGCGGAGTGTGCCGCTAATGAAGTTTTATCGATTTTCAGTTACAATACTGATCAGTAAATGAAGAGCAAATATGGAGAAAGACGGCTAGTGGGTGTTTCGAATGCAGTCGGAAAGCTGCAGGCGACAAGTAACTAGAATAAAACGAATAAATATTTTTTTAAATTAAATGGCTAAATTTACAAATTATTAAAAAGGATGTTCAGAACTACAGCATTATACATATACCGAACGGGAAATATACTTGCTATCAGTCCGTCCGGGAAATAATGAGCACAATGGCGCTGCTCCAATCGGGTCGCTGAAGAAAGAAAGCAACTTGATTTTGCCGCGACGCACTTTCGATGCAACAGAGTGCTCATTATTTTTCCGACAGGCTGAAGATACCCGTTCGCAAGTTCGCTGGGGTGATTTCGGCGACCTGCACAGAAAAGTCATGGCGTAAGCGACATTTTTGTTTTTTTTGCGACACCCAAACGGGCCATACTGTACGGCAAAGGCGTAGCTAGAAAGGGCAGTGGTTGCCCTCCCACCCCGGGGTCAAAGGAAAAAATGGTAAGGGAGGACCAGGCGGCTGCACGCTGCAAAAGCAACAAATTGCACTGAGCTTTTGCTCTTTTCACAATGCACGTCGCAAAGTTGCCCAAATCACTCTAGCGCCTTTACGGACGAGTTATCAGTCTGTCGGGTAAATAGTGAGCACTCTCTCGCATCGAAAATCGCATCACCGCTGAGAAAATGAATTGCCTCGCGACAAAATCAAGTTGCTTTTCACTTCAGCGACGCGATCGCGCAGCAAAATTGTTCTCATTATTTTCCCGACAGATTGACAGACTGTTTACAAAAAAAACACATCTAAAAAGGCAATGGACTCATTTCAGCGCGTGTGCTACTTACCGTAAGCGTGGCTATTCCGTCGACGTTCGAAAAAAGCCTTGTTGGAATTTTTTCTTCCGTTCCCTTCGAAGCGGGGCGACGGAAACGCCGCCGGTGGGAGAAATGAAAAATGGTTGGGTTGCATTCTTGACCAAAAATTCGAACGCTCCGTCGAAAACGATGACAAATCGTTGCAGATTCGGGCGGCTTTCTGTTGTCGTTGCTTTTGTCGGGTCGTGTTTTTTTGCTGGATACAGTAGTTGCTTTGCATGGTTTTTGATCCTTTAACTATGTGTCTGCTGAAATGGTAGGATTACCTTGGCATTTATCGATGTGTAAATATATATGTATAGTGCTATTGTGAGGGGTTTATCAACTCCGTCTACGATTGGAAGGCAGCAGATCAAACGTAAAACGACAAAGTCGTTTAGGAAGTAGTGATAAGGGGAAACGCGTAATTTTTAAAGTTTGAAATGGCTGCGTTATCAGCTGACCAACGCAAAAATCATCGTGCAGCACCCCCTCAAACTAAAATATACATTGTGCAGGCGAATGTATTCTTCACTGGTACTAAGCCCTACCGGAAACTCGCCGGAGTGATTTTTTACGTTTGCGCTGTGCAGGAAAGATCAGGATGAGAGCGACAACCGATAAAGGTCTGTGGCGCGGGATTGTCAAAGTGCGGCGCTCAGATATTTATAGACTTGGGCACAAACTGTTGAGAGGTCCGGGGGACAACCACACGATAAGACGAGAAGCTCGAGTTCAAGTGATTTATTGAGTGAAAAGCGGCTCTTATATCGGGATATCCCACGTAGGAAAGTACAATCAAATTTGAATAATAAATGATGATTTGCGTGGGAATTCGGGCTCGAAGTTCGGTCGTCCCGCCTCATAAAAACGTAGCTTCAAGTCTTTCTACGACATTTGCAAAACTCTTAACATGCGCTTTTCAGAAACGACCGAGATTTTTCAGGCCGAAAGTTCACAAAACATACCAAATTTTTGCAAATTTTCCCACAAAGGTTTTTATTATAGTCCGGTTGCAAAGCTGCTGAATTGATTACGAATCTTAAAACTGTTGAAATTTAAGTTTCAACAGCGATCAAACCAACACAAAACACAAGCACAGCTCTGCCTGTAGTTAGTATAAGCATTATCGGGAGCAATGCGCGACCGGATTATCCGACAGATCGCTGTCGATGAGCAAGCCAGTCCGGGTTCTAAAGATACCCACGCTTTAGTGATCAAAAAGGGACCGATTCGAAACGAAAAAAGCAACAGAGACCAAAATGGAATAAAAATAAAACAAATACGGTACGTCACGGTTTAATACGTTTTTTAGAAAACGTAGTTTTCTGAGGTAGAAATAAAGCAGAAATTTTTGATTTCTGCGAAAAGAAACTCGACCAACTTTTCGACTAAAAATCTCAGCTGCTGTTGCCAGACGCTTGCTAGGACTTCATTTGTGCCTTACGGAGGAAGTGGGACAGCCGCATTTTCTTTAGATTTGGCGAGTATGCTGGACATAGGCCACATAAATTTTCGTCGATCTACCAAAATTTTAGCTTGCAATTTGCAGGCGCAGAGGAGTTATTCAACGATCTTTGCGGCGGAGAGAGTACGCGAAAAGCGGACTGCGGTCAGAGAAAAAAAAACGCCTTTAGTCATATCTCTGCTAGAAATTTGATTTTCTGGGGAAACATTACCCTCTATGGTAGAACTTTTCATGCCTAAATTTTGCAAAAAGTGCCAAAATTTCGCCGACTTTCGATCTAAAAATCTCCATGGTTTCTGCGATGCGGAAGCTGGAATCTCTCCTACAACTTTTGCAAGAATTAATCTAAATTTGCGTCAAGTTTCATTGAAAGCCGAGCGTCGCTCCGATGGGAAAAATCACTGTAATTTCTAGTCCGTTCCATGATTGATATTACCCATATTTCTTGTCAACAACTGCCTATCTTAAAATTTTATTGTTAGCGATTTTTAAAAGCGCAAATTTACGTTTCCCCATTTAACCGCGTTAATTTGTTGTCTCAAATCGAGTTGTTGTCGACTTCTACTGCTCTCTGCTTCATTGTAATTCCAAAAGGTTTTGGGGTGACGTGCGATCGGTCTCTTGATGTCACGATTTGTTTTGCGAACAAGGCTTTATCCACCGAGGAAACTATACATACTATAAAGTTGAATACGAGTATTTCTAGTGTGGGCCTGATGTTCATGTCAATAAAATTAGGGGGAAAAATGGAATTAGCGTTACCATCCCACGCTAATTGTAAGAAGTTTGAAGAATACCCTGTCGAAACGAGGAACAAAGATTTTTACATAATTATCAGTCTGTCGGGCAACGTCATAAAAATCTTATCGCCGCAGGAAAAATGAATTATATCGCGGCAAAATCAAATTGCTTTTCATTTTCAGCGGCGCGGTTGGTTGGCCGACATTTTGCTCATTATTTTCCCGACAGGCTGACAGGTCTAATGTAGCCATCATTTACGACTTGTCGGTGCAAAAACGTCCTTGGAAGTTTTTCTAGGTGTCTGTGTGTGCTATGGATGAACCCAAAAAAAATTTGCTAATTATAGTGCTAATTAATTTGATAAAAAATTTTTTAGCGTCTCTGTATGACTGCTTTCCCCTTGTAAGACGTACTAGGCCCATAGACAAAGAAAGGCTTCATTGCCACCGTGGGTTTCTCGTGGTATAGAGGGCATCAACGTATTACTCCGTCCGCAAACGCCAAAGATCATACCAGCGCCGTTGCGAACGGACTAGTATTATACAAGAAGACATATTTTCAAGGTTGCGTGTGACTTGTAGCCTACTCCTCTAGCTTGTTGCTGCAATTGTCTATTACAGACTTTTTTGTTTTGAGTCGGCCGCCAAAAGCTGCAAGACACACCGTGACTAGATGTTTTCCCAGCCTTCAAGCCGCTAAGGTCGTCCATGACTTTAGTGGGGCAGACACTACTCCAAATGAAGGCCGCCGACCCCGGTTCGGTCTTTTGCTCCCAATATTAAATCGTTATGAGTAAGTGGTAAGTTTAACCGTCATCAATCATAACGAGAAAAAAGTAACGGCGGTTGGCCTATGAAGGTCGGTGTAGGTTTTACCGTACAAGAGATCTCAGTGTGTTTAAAAATAAACAAGCAATGTAGTCCATAACAATTTTAAATTATGATTTTTAGGTGAAATTACAAAAAAATTCCAAAAGAAGCCCAATTTGAAAAAATGAGGGCAATTAGAAAACGTGACTGAAAAGCTGACAACTACAAAACTCTGCTACAGAAGGTACAAGAACAGGCAAGATACAATGGCGAATTGATCCATTGGCAAAAAACGTACCATTTTGCATCCGGGAGGCATCAAAAAATAAAGCAAAATGCCTCCCTCTCCAAGCGAAAAAACGTTCAAAAACGCGCCGTTTCTTTTGGTG